GTGTGTGTGTGTGTGTGTGTGTGTGTGTGTGTGTGTGTGTGTGTGTGTGTGTGGCCTTTCAAACAACGTCATGCAGGGTTGATGTTTTTAATGACTGACTCTGTGTCAGTAGGTGGCAGCATTACATACCAGAAAGAATAAGAAAACAATCAATTGTTAAACCTGGGGTGGTGCAAATGTGTTCTCTTACTGACATTAAAAATGAGACATATTTTAAAAATTGGTATTAATACAGATGTTTTTCCAGGTTTATTCCTGCACACAGAGGAAAAACTGACTAATGGCTGCTCTCCTTTCTGATGAATACGTTTTTTAAAGAAGAATTAACAATTCAAGATCTCCCTATATGAGATTAACTTGTCAAAATACCCCAAACCATGCACTGTGCATTTACTATATTACTGATAATAATTTCAGATAGTCCTTTTCTCTCTGGGAGGACTCAAAATTCCAAATAAAGATTTTTTTTTACTCTACACAGTGCTTTTTGCCTCTCTCTACATACAAACTGATCAACACTGACTATTTAGATATCATATTTCAACCAGCAGCTGAAACTTAACCATAAAACTGACAGAGATCATCAGCTGCAGTTGGTAGTAGCATGTTTTCAGGATGAAGAAATCGAATTGACTTGAATGTTGGGAATGGTGTTTGCCGGGTGTAACAGGCAGTTACGCCCAGGATTGCTTCACATCAGCAGATGTTTGCGTTCCTCAGATACCTTTTCTGACCTTACCGGGGAAAGCTAAAAGCGACACTTAAATGATGTCGGCCATCCATCAGTGTCCACTCTGTGGGACGGCAGGAAACAATTTTATTTAGCCTCTGCACTGGTTTCCTGACAGTGAGGATGTTTGTTCCAACAGGCCTCCATCCATGAGCTGTTTATCTGTGTCAGCACCCAGCAGGAGGGAAACAGGCATCCTGAACACTCTGGTTATCAGCTGGCCTACTGTTTGGGGAGCAGGAGGCTATTACACAGCTGTCTGTGAGAGACTGGTGCAGACTGGTGAAGAAAGAGAAGACACATGACTAAAAGTCTGTAGACAGTAGCTCTGGTAGTTGACTGGGAGTAAACCCCTGCAGACAGCGATGTGACCAGTGTGGAGTGAATCTGACTGAGAATCATATGAGTCAAGCCCTGCTGGCCATTAGAAAGAGTTCAGGATTAAAACACCTGAAGCCTTTTTTAGAGTAATGCATTTGTGTTTGTTTGCAATGGTATTGCTTATGCAGAAAGATACACAAAGAGTCTCCAAAAATCAGCAGCAAAGAGAAAGAGCACAGAGACGATTGGTAGTTTTAGTGAAGGAGAGCATGCAGAGGGTTGGTGTGACGGGCAGGATGTCAGGGATTGGGTGAAATCTGCTGTGGTGACCCCCAAAAGACAGAAGTCAAAAGTAGAAGAAAAAGGAAGGAGAGAATTCAACTCAGCATTTATTGTTTGACTCCAAGCTAAAGAAACTTACTTTTTAATCTGTTTTATACTTTTTAATGCTTTTTATATGTTTACACATTTATTTGCAATGTATCTATTTTGTACATATTTATGTATTAATATATTTGTGCAGATTGTAACTTTACACTGTAAGTATAAATTGTTTCTATGTTCACTGTACCACATGTTCAACACATAAAAGAAACAAATCTGTTTATAATTGTTCAGGTGCTTTCTTTTTCGTCACATGTAACCATTAACCGTGGTTATATGATGCGCACACAGGAATTTATTAACCATCAAATACTGCAGAAGGAACTGATCAGTCACACAGTATTTATAGAGGATGGATGAACATCCTGGCTCTCAAAAGTGAAGCCAGTCCTGATGACTAGATTTATTACACTGCAGATCTTATTTATGTTATTTACAAAACATATTGGCAAATGTGTAATTTCTTTCATATACAATGCTAGAGACTTGCACATACAAACGGCTTGTGAATGTGGTTTCCTCACAGCAGACAGAAACTCTTAGTCTGATTCTTTTCAAAATGCAAAGCAAACAAAGCAGTGACTTCTTGGACTTTCAGTTTCAGTTTATTCACAGGCAGACAGGGATACTGAAGAATATACCATATGAATGAGTAAATGTCACAAACTGCCTGTTCATCATGTTTTGCATTGATGTGCAGAGTCTATATATGCTGTACCACTAGGGGGCAGTGTGACAAACAACCAGTCTTGCCTGTGCTGTAGTTGGTCATTCAGTCAGCTGTGGAGAAGAGCAAACTGTAAACTGAAGGTTAAAACAATGATGTGTGTCCACTGCAGCCACTGTCAGTGCTTTTCATGCTGTCAGTCTGACATCTCCATCATCAGCATCCTCAGTCTAATCTATACATAATCCATCCTCTGCACATCTGGAAAGCTATCGACTTTATATTAATTAGAAAACAAACACTCTTTTTTTTCTGTTACAATAGTTGCCAACATTTTTGGAGAGGTAGATTTATTACATCGAAAATCTCATTTATGTTTTTTATATAACATATTGGTCAATGTGTAATTTCTTTCATATACAATTCTAGAGACTTGCACGTACAGCCAAAGGGTTTGTGAAGGTGGCAGCAGACAGAAGCTCTTAGTTTGATTTTCTTTTTAAAATTCAGAAAACAAACAAAGCAGTGACTTCTTGGACTTTCAGTTTCAGTTCATTCACAGGGAGTCGGAGATACTGAAGAATATACCATATGAATGAGTACATGTCACAAACTGCTTGGTTTCTGTTTCTAGGCTCTTTTGTCCGATCACACCAAGTGTTAGCGAGAGCTTTTAACTCTTCATACTGCCATCTAACTATAGTGACTTCTGGGAAACCATAAAACTGACATGGCAGCATCTTGGGTGACGTCACTGGGTTTAGGTTCATCATCTGTATACAGTCTATGTGTGAAAAGCAAAAATGGCTAATGATCATTTCTATTGTGTGTTTCTGAACAATCTCGGAGCAGATTTCGTGAAGAATTGACACTTGCCCCCGGAGGTTAGATCAGCAGACTCAATCCTTCATGGATCAATTCACATATTTTAGACTATTTCTGGATTTTTGTCATCTGTCGTGCACCAGCTGAAACTTCATAAGACCCCTGCCCCCGACCTTCCAAGACTCAGCCTGTGCTGTTCATTTTGTTTCCACGTTTTCACTATCTTTGCTGCCTGCTGAAACTCTTCTGATTTCAACAACGATCTATCTGAGCTGTATTTTCCACCTGCACACTCACGCTAAACTTACTTTTTTTCCAGGTATTATCCCTCTGGAGCACTTATTCCTGAAAATTTCCAAAACACACACACTTACACATCAAGGTCTGGAGGCCCACCGAAGGCAAAAACAACTCCCAGTCTCCCTGCAGACCTCCCCCCTCTCTCTCTCTCCCCTAAACCTCCTCTCTGCTCTATCCCTCCTTCTCTTCCCTCCTCCTCTCCCAGTCCCCTCGCTGTCACAGTTTTTCCACTTTCCTTGGCTCCACTTTACGACCCTCCCTCGTTTGGAAGAAACTGCTGTCGTTATTTTTTCTCTCTCTCACTTGTGAATGTTTATCCGGCTTGAAGATTTTTCTAAGTGTATGGGCTCTAAAGCAAACGCCGTTTTTCTTCACAGTTTCGTCCTCGGAAGTCGCTTTTTAGGTGAAATATTTCAGCTGCAGAGAGTCTGCGTGTTCCTGGATGCCAAGGTGAGTAACAGGCTGTCAGCGAGATAACAAACAAACAAACAAACAAACAAACACTAAACTAAACAAAACAAATATAATTTATTGCTTATCGACCTGTCAATCAATGCACCTTTGTTTAATTGCTTACTCGTACACGTAGCGTGTAGGCATGTGCTGTTATTGCACCCCAGACGGCGAAAACGTCAGTTAATCTCATGAAATAAAAAAAGGATAAATTAAATATGATTCATTCAGTTAATAAATACCGATTATAGATCACTATAATTTAAGAATATAATATTCGTGGAGTCTTACTTTTGGTACTTCATTTTCAGACAATACGTACCTTTAACTGGTCGTGTTTTCATTTATTCACGTTTCTGAACGTGTCTTTACATTTCTTTGAATACTTCGGCTGCCACTGCTTTCATCAGATAATGTGCATCAATATTCAATAAAATCCCCCGTAAATCTGCAGACGACCACTTTCATACTGCTACATTACAACATAATACACATTTGAACATTATTAGTGAACTTGTCCTCTCAATAAGATTTCACGTTTCTGTGTCCTGAATGTATTTTCTATGTTGAATCATAATCACCAACAGTAAAGTCGTCTGTTGGGTACCATGAAGGTGTTGGAGCTGAATTATGTGGTTGCTGTTGCGGTTGATTTGAAATCACATTTTGACATTTTTGTCTTCATTCATGTGAAATGCATCGTGTACACTTAGCTTTGAAAACTATACTGGAACAATCTACTCAAACTTGTGATTGATTATTAGACATAAAATACCTTTGAAGGTCCACATTTGTTGGTCAATATTTGTAACACAAGATGAAATATGAAAAGGCAGCCTGTGTTTAACCAGATATATAAAGAAAAAAATGGATTTTAAGGTCTAACTGTGTATTAAAGTTGAATGAGAAGCATTTAATCGATCCTGACGAGTCCCATTCTGTATCTTTATTGTAAACCAGTGATTGCTGTAACCTCAGACTGTTAAGGTTCTGGGTTCAAACCCCAGGAAATCTCAGGAAGGCTTGAACCCAGAACTGGATGTGTGTCCAAAAACATCAATGTTAAATGTTGAGACAGATGAAGCTTTGAGTGGACGATAAGATCAGAAAATCTCTATACAAATGCCAGAACAATTCAATTAATGAATAGTCTGACTGGTAGAGAAGAAAAGTTGCCAACCACCAGGATACAAACAGGTTGCAACAACATGCTACCTGAAAATAAAAGATAAAGTTAGGGAGTTTATTTTCTAAAAGTATGTATTTATAAGTTTTATAAGTAGGACAAGAATAATCAGAAAAGATTATTCTTGTCCTACTTACAAACTGTCAATTCAGATCAATTCAATTTTATTTAACAGCGCCAAATCACAGCAACAGTCGCCTCAAGGCAGATAGACAATAATACACACAGAGGAAAAACCCAACAATCACATGAGGAAACACTTTGGTGACAGTGGGAAGGAAAAACTCCCTTTTAACAGGAAGAAACCTCCAGCAGTCATGTCACATAACATCTGTCACATATTAGTCATACTTTTTTCTTTTTTAATTAAAGCACTTGTTTAAATGAACTCCTGCCGTTGTGTCACCGCTTCGTGCACTTGCACACTTTTCCTCCCGGGTGTGTTTTTTTTTCTTGGCGTCTCTGCCTCTGCTTTGAAAACGTTTCCAACTACTATCAAGAGACAGCGTGACTCAAAAAAGCTCTGCTCGTCTGGCATGTTTCCTCCATCAATTCATGGCAAAGGAAGTTGCTGGGAGTAGTTCTGCTCTTTTCTCATCTTCCTCTGTTCTGTTTGATCTTCATTAAGCCGTTCAGGTTTCATCCCTGTTCTGGAGCACCTCTGGGTCACAGAGGAGCCGTGATTCAAGCCAGTGAAACGTGGCGGCAAGGTGGCTGCAGCCAGTAGTGCTGCGTGTGTGTACAGCGCACACATCCTGATGTGATGGTGTGTGAGTCAGCATTCATGTCCTGTTAGTGAAGTTAATCAGATGAGGCAGATGGAGTGTTTTCTCTGCAGATGTGAGCGGGTGCAGTGGATTGTTTCTCTTTTTTTGGGCATGTGTGAAGTCAGTAACACAATAATGGATGTTTATAGCACTCTGATATGAAAGAGCGCGTTGATTAAAAGGAGTTTGATTACACTGAAAAGGAGAGATTGCAGCACATTTTGGGAGGGCGGGAGACGAGGGGGTCACTAGCTGAGCCGCTGGATTAAAGAGAAACCAGTGTAGAAACGTGGCTTGATGACAAATTGACATGTTTATAGTTTAGAGCTTTGAAATGTTGAACTCCTGCACATGCATGTGCACTGTTTTGGAAACAAAATGCACGTTTCCTTTCCTCTGTGGAGATGTAAAATCACCATAAATCACCGTAAATCCAGCAGTTATTGTCTGTGACTTGTGAATGAAAAGCTTTTTGATTAAGGGGCCCTGACATCTTTCGACTCATAAACATCTGCATGGAAGGCGAGATATGATTAACTATCAGAGTAAATCTCAGCCACCTGGTCTGGACTCCTGACCTCACATCTGCTCTGGCAACTGAAACACCTCAGGAAGTCTCTGACTGCAGACTGAACTTTGTGTGTCTACAAATATTCCTAAAAGCTCATTTTTAAAGCTCATATTTAATCAATAAGTTATATTCTGCCTGCTAAAAACAAACTGAAATGGGGCGTCTTTGTTTTCCGTCAGTGCCCTCATATGGAATCCTCATTGGTTGACAGAGTGTCTGCCCTCTTGCAGACTGTTTCGGCTATCAGTGGCATAATAGTGACCCATTTTTTCTCTCTGGTCAACCAACAAAAATCGCCTCCAGTCTGACAGCTGGAGATCCGGCTGACTGAACATCTGTTTGTCCAGGAGAGGACTTGATTTCAGGCAGGCTATTGGATTTGTTTTGGTTAGAGATGACACCGGCTAGAGACACAAAGAGATGAAGTGGAACTGGAGAAAAAAGGGCTCAGTTTAAGTTACTGGATCCCCCGGTGCTTGGGCTTTTCTAAAATTTATTGTGCGACTGCATGGGGCAGCCAGAGTGTCTGCACATTGTCTTTTGAATGTCACTCCTTTTCTTGACAAAGTCATCCCTGATGGCCACACAGCACAATGTAACATCACAGACTGAAGGCTTTGTTTGCATTATCCATCGAAGCACGGCTGCTGCCATATAGAGTTACGTGCACGCTCGCAGATTAGTCTTTTGCACACTGATGCCATCTTCAGGAGTTATGCCCTGACTTTACCTGGGCTTATATGAAATATATCTCAACATCACACAACATTTACTGCAGATATTTGTAGGTGTGACTCTTTACACTGGGTGTAGTGGACTCATGAGGTGATTTAATAATATCGTAATGGCTCTCACTGCGATGTACGCCTTAAGGAGAAACTTCTGTGGCTGCGAAAAAAAAGAAAGTGCTACAAACGAGTTCGTCCTCTAGAGTCTGGCTCCAAAAGTGAGTCAGTCCTCGTAAACTTCCATTGCCCAACTTTACAGTAGAAATAATATGTCTGCAGACTGGTGCAATGTTGTGTTTGCGCATATTAGAAAACTAAGCAGTGGGCTGCTCACTTTATTCTCTAGTCCACTGATAACACTTTGATTACTTTCCATATCTGCAAGTCTTCTTGGGTCAAAGGGATGTAAACGTGACGTTGAGATTTCGTGTGTCTGCCTGTTGTCTTTGACTGGTCTGCTGAGATTTCAGATTACAATACAACAAATACGCTCGCGCCTGCTGTGCTATCTCCAGCTGTCTGCAACAGAGAATCGAGGCTTAAGTCTGCATTTCACTAGCAACACTTAGTCTCTAATTTCATAAAGGCAGATGTCAAAGTGAAGGTTTGAAATGGTTGACATCATGGCCATCAGAACATTGCAAGTTATGAACTTAACTGTGGATCTGTTAGGCTTAATAAATGATGCCAGTGGAACAGCGATGGGTGCTGTGTTGGTGCAAACCACCAATAATGGGAAATTCTAGTGTCAGGATGATGACCAGGACCAGTTTCTGTGGTCAGAAGTGGTTGAAAATAGCTTCTTCAGAGCGGATTTGTTCTGAATTTTGAAACTTTCAAACTAAAGAAGTTTTCTTCTAATTCATTATTGATTAACTGAATTCTTTTTTTCATGTCTTGCTGAATAATTTCCATTATGCCTCACATTTTTATTACTGGGAAGTCAATTCATTATAACATTATTTTAATACTACATTTTTCACTCAAGCAGTTCCAGAGATTGAGGTTAAATACGTTCAAATAAATCATTAAAAGCACCGTCTATGATTATGTTAAATCACTATTCTACTCATGCTCTCCCTTTTATGCACTGGCGACAGAGTCTTCCCTATTAAAGTTCAGAAGATGTAAAAAGTGGCCTGTATGAACTTCAAAAAGTTATTTTTGATGTAAAAATAGTCGTCAGGAAAACGACAAAGAGCAAAGGGAATTCAAAAGAAGGTGACGCTGGTTGAATATTCCTACCACAGGCTTATATAAGGCTCTCAACCCCATGTGCTTTGCAGCCGTGCAAATAATTTGGAGCAGATTGGAGCGCGGCCCTCCAGCTCAGGGGGTTTGGGTCGCTCGCTCTGCTCTGGCACCGGAACAGCTTCATTGGGCCTCGGCTCAAATAACCAGTTATAAAAAGTAGAGGTCGAGGGGTTTGGAGCTGGAAATGAAGGAGGAGCCAGGGGCGGGTTGATGGAGTGACCACAGACTACTTGTACTGTGGTGAGGGTCTTTCCTGAAGTTGCTTATGTCGGTGGTTGTTCTGGGTGGTGGGTGGAGCAGCCGTGGAGACATTGTTCATTAAGACTTCGTGGGCTTTTGCTGGTGTCTGTGTCTTTGCAGGACGGCTGGAACCAAGTGAAATTTGAGATGTAGAATTAGAAGAAATATGGTACCAAGTTCACAGCCCAGGAGGCTTCTCGCTCTTTGTCTCCACCACTGTGATGAAAACGAGGTTATGTTTTTGTTATTGT